GAAGTTGCAAATGTATATAATATAAGGATTTGTGTGTTTGAAGAACAAAGTTTCTATAGTTTCATTAACCTATAAGACTCATTTATCTTGTAGAATCGGCAACATATAAGCTTTAAAATCAATGCATACAGTTTGTTTGTTGATCAAGGTTCTTGGTGATTACGGAGAAGATGAAGATTAGATATATCTCATACAATCAAAAAACAAAGGTTATACAATCAAGAAAGTATACACTCGACAAACTTGATAATGAAGAAGACTTAAAAATTGAGTTATACTTTTTGAATTAAGCACATAACAGCAAAAGAGTACGAATGAGTCAACGACCAATCATTTTCTCATAAGACTCTTATGTTTTTATTATTATTTAAGTTCAAATTTTGATTATTTAAAATTCTCGGGGCATCACAAATACGAGGATGATGGTGGACTCATCAAGTGGTTTGTCACTAAAAAGAAGATACTAGTATGTTTTTAACTTTCTTAAAAAAACTCAAACTAAAGTTTGCATTCTTTGTACAAAAGGCTTTTTTTGAAAGAACAAATAACATTCTTCAAAAAAAAAAAAAAGGATAATGAAGTCGAAGAGATTAATCCCCCATCATTTGCCAGTTAATAACGTGAACCCTAAATTAATTACATCCTTTAATTTATTCGGTATGCCTCGTCAAGCAGTCATTTGGAAGATGGAAGGTCAAAGGTTTTAATTTCTGATTCAATCAAAAAGTTTTTTTGGGAAGCATGCAACTTTGGGACTCCCAAGTCTATTAAAAAAACATAAATTTATAAATATATATGGGCAAATGTACCCTTTTCGATGTATGTAAAATTCTAAAGAAGCTAGGTCAAATTGTGTGTTGTGTAACATGTCTATATGACTATATATATATATATCGGTTTGTGCCGTCAGTGAAATAAACAAAAAACCTTTCGACTTGAAACCACCTTTGAAGAAATTTTTGACTACTACTACTATTTTTTTTGTTGGTAAAGTTGTTATCAATGGCTGGAACTGAGTTTTCCGAGGAACCAACAATAAGGCTGAAACTTCTTGTCGACAAGGAGAAAAACAAGGTTGTCTTGGCTGAGGTTGGTAAAGATTTTGTTGATGTGCTCTTCAGTTTTTTGATACTGCCAATAGGTACCATTGTGAGATTTCTGCAGAAACATCACCATAATCAAAAGTCTCCAGCCGCCGCAACTAAAATAGGTTGTTTCAACAATCTCTACAAAAGTGTTGTTGATATGAGCAACGATGATTTCTTGACTGAGGCTTGTAAACATATACTTTTGTATCCGATGCACGTGAAAGTGAGTCAATGCAAACGGCTTAAGCTTAACATCGACGACACCCCAATCTTGAAGTACTATAGGTGCCCGGATTTGGGAAATTCGCAGTCATGCTCCAAGGCTTATAGTAATTTCTACTCCTTAAAATGTGTTTGTGGCAAGTTTATGAAACAGGAGATTATAGCAAATGAAGGTGTTCGTGAGGAAATATTTGTCAGCGACAACAAGTCTTTCATCATTTCCGACAATATGAAAGTTGGATTCAGTTCCATTTCTCTCGCCTTAAAAACAATTAGAGAGCTCGGTCACACAGATCTTGATAAGTTGGATGAGATGCTTGTAGACGTTGGTCACAAAGAGGTAACTACATTTATTTTGTTTTTTTTCTCTTTATGCATATCGCTTTTTGAATGTCATTACTTAGATCTTGTTTGCTTTTTAATATCTTGAAAATATAAATCTAGGTACTAGCTTTGCTGGAATGCTTACTCTCTTCGGATACTCCCTTGACTGATGCGTTCTTGATGAAACGGAGCTCATGTATCATTACAAAGACGCCTAACATGGCAAGCTTAGCCGCCCTGCAAGATGGAGGTAAAGAAGAAGAATCAAATGAACAACAACTCTCAGTCACTCTATTTGTTAGGAAGCAAGACAAGAAAGTTCTTTATGCCGAAAGCGGACAAGACTTTGTGGATCTACTACTCATTTTCTTGGCTGTCCCTTTGGAGTTAGTGTGGGGAATATCTGGAAACAATATCGAACTCGAATGTATTGACAACTTATGTAAAAGCAAGAAGAGCTTGAGCTCTAGTCAAGCCACACATCATTCATCGACTATGCTTCCTTTGAACTATAGCTTCCAAGCACCGTTGCTTGGTATCTCTAGGAAAGTTTCCATCCCGTGGTCAGTGACAATAAACTATCAAAGGTATGATTTGAAACTGATGTATCCAAATTATGATGGAAGTGGAGAGTCAACGATTCATAGTAGCAGCGGGCTTGTAAGGAGAGGTACAACGTACATGATTTCAGATGATCTTACTATCTCAGCTAAAAAACTCTTCTTCAATTATTTGCATATTGAAGAAGTGGAATGTAGACTTGGATGACATTGAGGAGCATGTAATCAACATAAGCAAAACAGAGGTATGTCTCTAATAAAATAATAAACATTTTTCACCAATATTCTAAACAGTGGTATGTCTCTTATACTGAATGTGACACTAATACATTTCAGGCTATTGGTTTACTAAGAGCTTCACTGACGACATCCACTGCATTGACCACAGCTTTTGGAAACTTACTCCTCAAGAAGCCAAAAAATGAGAAACTCTAAGCTATAATTGCTGAGATTTTTAAATCACACAATCTTAACTCTGTGGTGTTTTTTATTGTTGTTAAAATCTTTGCTTTTTTCCCCCTTAAATAAAACACTTGCTGGATTACTGCACAAGTAACACAACCTTTTATTCTGTGGTCGTTAATATTCTTTATTTGAGATGTGAGTCAAGAAGAGTAGATAAATGTCATACAAGAAGAACAAAGCTTAATACAATCAAGAAAATATACACTCAACAAACTCAATGATGATGAAGCTCGAGGTAGCCCCATGGAAGGGAGATTGCTCCAATGTAAAAAGGTAAAATTTCTTGTTTACATTGGAAAAGGAAACCCTCTTTTTTTTAAAAAAAAGCGGAAGATGTCTCTTTGTATATATAAGAAGAGTGCATGGCAAGTTACGAACCCTAATTTTTATTTGACAAAAGATGAGGATGATGTCCAATCTTCCGCATGATTTGGAAGAGGAGATACTCTCTACGGTTCCGATACCTTTTCTGAGAGAGGTGAGGTCCACATGCAAAGGATGGAACGATTTAACCAAAGTTCACAGCTTTAGATAGAAGCAATTAAGTAAAGCACCCAAAGGGTTTCTGATGATTATGATTTATGGTCGTGTGGTTAGTTTAACAAGTATTAATCTTCATCGAATCCATAACCACGAAGACTCGGTTGTTCCATCTGCGAAGAAGATAGGTAACTTCTTTAATCAAGTCGTGATAAGTAACGTATTTCACTGAGACGCTTCTTTAATCAAGTCGTGATAAGTAACGTATTTCACTGAGACGGCTTATTGTTATGCCGCACAAGGGACTCCAAGCTTGTGGTATGGAACCAAGAAAAGAATTCTACATGTCGGATAACTACTCTATTGGATATGATCAAGAGCAACAACAACTACAAAATCTTTGAGGTTTTTGATTGGTTACGTAGCTACGAAACGAATTATTAATTATCACATCTATAATTTTAAGTCCAATTCATGGAGGGTTGTTGGTGTCACTCCCGATAATTGGCATATAGATTATTATCAAGGCAGTATATCTTTGAAGGGAAATACGTACTTTCTTTCTCGGGGAAGATTAGAAGAGAAAAAGTTTTTTTGCTCTGTTTTGATTTTACAAGAGAGAGATTTGGACCGCGTCTTTATCTACCGTTTGATGTTAGAAACGATATGCAGACTCTATCTTCTGTTAGAGAAGAGAAGATTTCAGTGATGCTTATGCGCAAGGATACAAATGTGATGGAGGTATGGATTACAGATAAGATCGAGCCTGATGCAGCATCTTGGAAGAAGTTCATGGTGGTAAAGGATCAACCAATCCTGTCTCGGGTAAAAAATGTTTCAGTTCAAAGTGGGAGTTTCTTTATTGATGAAGACAAGAAAGTCGTAGTGGTTTGTGTTAGAAACGGCAACATAGCTTACTTGATTAAAGAGAATGGATACTACAAAGAAATGGTTCTCGGGGAATCTAATCATCTGCCAATTATGTGCTCTTATGTTCCAAGTTCGATGCAGATCCAGAAAGGGCCAGTAGTACGTGCATGTGGCAAAGAGAAAGAACGAGAATATATATAATATTATACAAAAAAACTTGTTTGTTTCTTGCATGATCTCCTTTACATTCATTTTTTTTTCCCACCATGTTCTTATGTCCCTTTTTGATCAAAAACTAAACTAAGTCTTTATAGACTTACTATATTTTCATGTTTTTTTTTTGTAGTTGTGATCTTGTGAATTGTACCCATCCTAGTGATGTTCTCTTTGTGATGCTGTATCACATAGTATTACGCCTAAAAAATCCCTGCCATTTGGAATATTACGTGGGGTATTGTTAATGTCAGCAATCAATCATCAAACAACATTTTAAATCCATATCAGCAGAAACACATATTAACTATGGTGAATGTGTGTATAACACAAATAGAATAACGTCTCCCTGCGAAGGCTTTCTCTCCCAGGCACGTTTTGCGAGGCAGCCTTAGAGTCAACTCATGTCCTTTTCGTACTTCCTTTTATCCGGCGTTTTTTTCCTGTTTTAGAAGGTTTTTTCAAAAACCCTAGGACCTTGGTTTCACGCGCCCGGGTTCCACCCCCGACTTAGAGTCGGAGGGTCCTCATCGCCGCCGGTAAGCCTCCTAAACCATGACAAGAAGCCGCTTTAGCTCAGATCTCAAGCACTAGCAAGCTACACAAGTCTCCGAAGCTTTTCCCACCCAAGGAACCTACAAATCTCTCTGGTATGAAAGCTCATTTCTAGCCTTACTAACCTCAAAGATTGTATTATAGTGCACTTGGGTATATTTTGAGCCTATTCAGAAATTACTTGGAAGAACTCTATCTTTCAAGAAAACTCTCACCCTAGTGGTGTTGAAACTCTCTAAAAACTACAGTCAAGTCAAGTTTTCGACAAGCTAAAACAACAATGGCGAGACGGTTTACTCAAACTGAAAAAGGGAAGGGAGTGGTACCTCCTACTGAACCACCTCGAGTTGGAAGAGTAAAAGTCCCTGACTTTGACATCTCAGAGCTGATGAAGCAACACAATCTCACCATAATCGGAAGACTAACAAACCCGAAGATCCAACGGTTATGGTCACTCCTCCCGTTCTTCTCTGAACATTGGAAGACAAGCTCACCTCCGGTAGGAGCAGATCTGGGCCAGGGATCTTTTCAGTTCACCTTTGAAACAAAAGAAGATATGGAAATGGTGCTGGAAAACAGACCTTACCACTACGCACACTGGATGCTCATCATACAGCAGTGGTAACCGACAGTTTCTAGATCCTTCCCCTCGCTCATCCCCTTTTGGATAAAAGTTCAAGGAGTACCAGTGCACATGTGGAATGAAGCTATGCTGAGAAGTATCACAGAAGATCTGGGGACGATGGAAAAATGGGAAATAACGAAGGCTCACGCCAAAATGAGAGTTCATGTCAATGGACTCTTACCTCTACTCAAAACTTATACCTTGGAGTTTGCTAATGGAGATGAAGTGGTAGCCACTCTCGTATATGAAAAACTGGAGAAGCACTGTAGCCATTGCTCGATGCTGGATCATGAGAAAGAGGAATGCCCAGAACTGACAAAGGGAGAGGAAGAAACCGGAAAGCTTCCTCCTTTACCACAAAGAAGAGGAACTGGAACATCTATCTGTAACATTAGCTCAGGTGTGAAGCGTAAGAGAGATGAGATAGTATACCCACTGAAAGAAGAAAGACGCCTGATACCTGGAATCAAAGGGACCGTAGTGAAAGATCGCAGCAAGTGTCTGGAAGAGATCACAGAGACAATCCCATGAGAGAACCAAGGAGGAATCTCTCATACTCTGACAGAAGCAGGTACTCTTGTAACCATACGGGGTCTAGAGGAAGCTACCTCGGGAACCGACCAAGCCATCATGGACAGGAGCAGAGATGGGTTGAAACAGGACGACGAATCTCCAATTCCGTGCTAGCAGACTCTGCAATCAGAGACATAGGGGTTGAAAAGAGCCCAGAGCCGTATAGAGGAAATCAAAGATCGGAGAATAGGAGCCTTCAGCGGGAACAAGGCAGAAGATCCCCAGTTGAATCGTCACACTCTAGGAGATCAAACCGGAGTGAGGAACTGAGAACACCAAGAGCTGTTTTACCTACCGAAGCTTTGAGGGAAGCAAGAGGAGAAGTACGCGAAGTCATGGCTCAATACGCAAACTGTGCGGATCCAAATGAAAGTGCAGCAAGGAAAGAGAGATTGAGAATAGCGGAAGAGCGAGGTGAAGTGGACCAAACAGCAGAACAGATGGTGAGACACTCCATCCGAGCTCAAACCCAAATCCAAGAGGAGGAAATGCTGGAACCCCTTATGCACGAGCGAGTACATGCAACTCTGCGACTTGGTCCAGTTCTGACAGAGATCCCGATAACGGAGGAACCACCAAGAATACCGGCAAAGAAGCGTTTGGGAAGACCACCTAACAAGAAAAAAGGCTTGCCACTATCATTACCAGAAAGAGCTTCAAATCCAAAGATAAGGAAAGTGGCTCAAGTGAAAATATCACCAAAGAGGAAATATACAACGGGAAGTACATCAAGGAGGAAAAATTAGAACTTATCTGGTCCATCTCAATCACAGACGCCCCAAGAGCCGCCTCGCTGCAACATAGTCCCTGCAACCTTGAAGAAGAAGATGGATTTTCAGAATCCGTCCCATCTTCCACCTTAAAAATTCTGAGCTGGAACTGCCGTGGTTTGGGGAATCCCGGGGCAGTTCGTAGTCTGCAGGAAATAAAAAAGAAGCATGATTTTCCTGAGATAATATTCCTCATGGAGACGAAAAATGGAAATTCATTCGTTCTCAAAGAGCTGAAACAGTTAAACTATGATTACCTTGAAATGGTGCCACCATACGCAAGAGGAGGAGGCTTAGCACTGCTCTGGAAAAAAGAAGTTGAAGTAAATATCCTCCACAAATGCGATAACTTTATCGACTCTGAAGTGAGATTTAAGGGAGAGAAATTTTATGCTACCTTTGTCTATGGCGACCCAAAAAGAGACGGAAGAGCAGAAATATGGAGAGCAATAAGGGAGAGAGCTGAAAACCGTGAAGCGCCATGGTTCCTCACAGGAGACTTCAATGAAATTCTCGACAACTCAGAGAAGCAGGGTGGTCCAGCTAGAACGGAAGGCTCCTTTGTAGAGTTTCGATCCTTTATGTCAGAATGTGATCTCTTTGACTTAAGATTCTCGGGTAACTTCCTGTCGTGGAGAGGCAAAAGACGAAATCATTTAGTGCGTTGTAGACTGGATAGAGCAATGGCAAATAGCTACTGGATTGAAGCTTACCCGTCTGGTCGAAGTGAATATTTGAAGTTTGAGGGATCTGATCACAGACCCTTAATCACTACCTTTCAAGCTGTGAAAAAAAGGAAAAAAGGGCTGTTCCGTTATGATAGAAGTCTGAGAAACAATGAAGAGGTTAAAGCGTTAATTGAAGAGTGTTGGAACACAAACCCTCGAGCAGATGTGGAAATGAGAATCTCCAACTGTAGAAAAGCTATCATCCAATGGCACAGGAACCATCATCGGAATAGCCAACAACAGATAGAGGAAAAACGAAGAGAGTTAGAGGAAGCCATGACAAGCAATGAGTCCAATGACATTATAATCCGTCAGATTAATAAAAAACTAAAAGGAGCTTACGAGGCTGAAGAGGAATACTGGAGGCAACGCAGTAAGCAAATGTGGCTCAGTCTAGGCGACAAAAATAGTGGTTATTTCCATGCTGCAACCAGAGGAAGAAGAGCACGCAATAACATCTCAGTGATTGAAGATGATGAGGGAAAGACAGTCTATGAGGAAGCAAAAATAGCAGAGGTCATCACAAAGTACTTTGAGAAAATGTTTACCTCTCAGGCGGGATCCAGAGCAGAGACAGTGAACCAGGGGATTACACCAAGCATCTCGGAGGAAACTAATAGACGGCTAATTCAAATACCAAGCCCACAAGAGGTTAATGCGGCAATCTTCTTGATCCATCCAGATAAGGCCCCGGGACCGGATGGCTTCTCAGCGAGTTTCTTCCACTCTAATTGGGGAACAATTGGCGAACGTATCACCCTCGAGATCCAGGAGGCTTTCAGATCTGGTGTTTTCCCTCAAAACATAAACGCCACGCACATATGCCTAATTCCAAAGAAAACAAATCCCAAGTCAGTGGCAGACTATAGGCCAATAGCATTGTGCAATGTTTATTACAAGATTTTCTCGAATATCATTACCGCAAGACTACAACCGATCCTTGATGGCTTAATATCTGAGAATCAGTCAGCGTTTGTACCCGGAAGAGCAATTGCGGACAATGTGATGATCACTCATGAGATCCTCCACTTCCTGAAAATTTCAAAAGCGAACAAAAGAGGATCAATGACCATTAAAACAGACATGACAAAAGCTTATGATCGTGTGGAGTGGGATTTCATTAGACTGGTGTTGGAAAAGATGGGTTTTCACTCCATTTTAATTGGATGGATCATGCAATGTGTGACTTCGGTTACCTTTAAATTCCTGCTCAATGGAACCGCGATAGGCAACGTCAAACCTACAAGAGGTATCCGCCAAGGAGATCCACTCTCACCATACCTCTTCATCCTGTGTAGCGAAGTCTTATCTGGCCTGTGCAACAAAGCTCAAGAAACCGGTCAATTATCAGGCATAAGAGTTGCCAATGGAAGCCCAAAAGTAAATCACTTACTTTTCGCTGATGATACAATGTTTTTCTGCAAATCCAATGAGAAAACTTGTAAAGCCTTGAAAGAGATCCTGCGCAAATACGAAGAGGCATCAGGACAAATGATAAGTTGTCAAAAGTCGGCTATTACCTTTTCCAGCAAGACATCGAATGAGATCAAAAGGAAAGCAATGAGAATTTTAGGAATTCAACAAGAAGGAGGCAAAGGAAAGTACCTAGGACTTCCTGAAGCTTTTGGAAGGAAAAAGAAAGATCTCTTAAACTCAGTTGTGGACAGGATCAGACAACGCGCCATATCTTGGTCATCCAAACTACTCTCGAGTGCAGGGAAACTAGTGATGCTCAAA